CAAGCGAATCTAGCTGTTTGTGCACATCCAATGCAACGTCTCCACTTTCATGATGATGCGACTTGCGCAGGACAACTCGATCATGGACAACATCGACTACAAAGCGAAGGTCGGCTTCGTGCCGGCTGGCGACGGCGGCCGAGTCACAATCGTCCTCTCGTTTGCGTCGGAATCCCCTTCGCTCCTCGGAGCCGAGGTGCCTGTCTGTGCGCATGTTCATCCTATCAGCGCGATCTTCCCGTCCCAAACGCCGCCGTATCGTCCCTGGCCCTAGGCGTGCGGCGCCAAGAACGCCCTCGTGAAGGACGTCCCCGCAAAGTCTGGCGCGGAGGCCTCCGAAGAGAGCATCATCAAGAAAGACCCTTCGGCAGAGGCGCCCGCCGCGGGCGCGGTCGACTCGGACAAGGCCAAGGCCACTTCGCTCCTCGGAGCCAAGGTGCGCGTGCGCACGCCAGGGTTGTGATCATCCCTCTCCCGTCTCCGAAAGCCTGCGCGTACTCTCCTTCGCCCACAGGCGTGCAAGATCGTCAAGGACATCCCCGTGGCGAAGTCTGGCACGGAGGACGTCGACAAGAAGGACCCGGCCGCGGAAAAGGCGCCCGACGCGGGCGCGGTCGCCTCGGACAAGGCCAAGGCCATGTTCGCCGCCCACGCGCCGCGCCGGACCGCCGTTTTCTGGTCCAAGTTTACGCGCCCGACCGGCCCACCGACGGCCCCCACCGGCGCCGTCAAGGGCGCCCTCGAGAAGGACATCCCTGCGGCAGAGTCTGGCGCGGAGGCCTCCGTTGACGAGACCGGCGCCATCAAGAACCCGGCGCTCAAGCCGGCCACCAAGGTCGCCACGGCCCTCAAGCCGGTGGTGGCCGGCGGCGCGCCGCTGCCGTCGATCAAGGAGTTTCCGGAGGCGGAGCCCGCCCCGGCGGCGAGCGCCGCGCATTCTGCGCCGCGCGTCTGCCGACCCACTCCTTGACCCGCCCCGCTTTCATCGCGCGTAAGGAGACGCCGACTGGACTGCCTCGGCCAAGAAGTTTCCAGAGGAGAAGCGCGACGTGAGCGCCTCGCATGCTGCAAGCGGATCCGGCGCCCACGTCTGCTGACGCGCCTAGCGTGCGCGTGTGCACAGGGCATCTCCGAGTGGACGACCCCCTCAAAGTCGCGCCGCAACAACGAGCGCAAGGCGGCGTCCGCCCCGATCGACTGCTTCAACGGTTACGGGGCCCTGCTCGGGGCGGGCGGCGACGAGGGCATCGTCGGTGGCAAGGCGCCCTCCAAGGCGACCCGCGGATCCACGCCGTCGACCACAAACTCGGTGCTCGCCGCCTGCATATACGCGCGGCCTCCTTTCCCTGCTCGCCACTCACAGCCAGCCTCGCGCCCCTGTTCAGGGCGCGACGGCCAACCCCAAGACGAACACGACTACCACGCCGAATGGCTCCGTCTCCGCCTTCGGCTGGCTCTCGTGGCCCAAGCTCTGCTGGCACAACGCGCTCTGCGCCGTCTTCATCTGCCTCATCGCGAGCGGCGGGGCGTTCGCCTACTTCTCGCACGGCTCTGACAGCCTTCTCCCTTCGATTGTCGTGCCCGACGCGACGGCGCTCCCGACTGAGCGTGAGCCGGTGTTTGCTCCGTTCAACCCCACGCCGGTCGTGCCCGAGCCGCCGGACGTGATCGAAAGTCCCGCCTGGCTCATCGCCACCTCCGGCTTCTGCTCGAACCTCAACGTTGTCATGAACGCGCGCGACGTCAAGGGCAAAATGACGGCTGCTGGGCACTTTGTGGCGGACATCTCGTTCAACTACTACCCGCAGACGGCGATCAAGTTCACCGACTCTCCGTACCACATGGCGAATACCATCGAGGCCGACCAGACTGAGGCGGACGCCCTGGTGTCGCCCGCGTGGGACCACAAGAACATCGCGCTGCTCGAGCCAACAGCCACGTGCAGCGCCAACGAGCAGGGCCGGAGCAACCAATCGTGGGCCATCTCCGTCTTCAAGGTGGAGGAGCACCGCGCCTGCAACGATGGTGAGACGGCGTGGTCTGGCCATCCATGCGTGCACTACACCGGCTACGTCTCGGCGGAGTCGCCCAACTTTGTCAATGTCAACACGGAGCGATTCGTGTGCCAGCTGTTTGTCGACTCTGTTGACGATACGGTTGGGAGCTCCCCTTCCAAAGTGTCAACGATAACGGCCCCGATGATGACTTCTGATACGTGCACAGCGAACAACCCAGGCACCGACAAGATTTTGACAGATTCGAGCGGACTCATGCAGACGCGCGAGATGCTCACCATCGACCAATTCCTGCGCGGAATCACCTCCTCGAACGAAGATCAGCTCCACATCTCCGCCTACCAGTTCCAGCTTGGTGAGGACGTCGACACGGGCGAAGGCGTCGTGGTCACCACGGAACCGACTGCCAATCTCTTTGATCGAAACAAACTCGCCCAGCGCCTCAGCGTAAGCACGGCATCCGCCTTCAGTTCGACGAAGACGATTTCAGGCGACTCCATCGCAGAGTTCTCGAGCCAGTTCGCCGCGTCTGCTTCCGTCGGAGGATCAGCCTGGGGCGTGACCGCGTCAGCATCAGCGTCATTCGGCTCGTCGTCCAGCAGCTCGAGCAAGATGTCCTACGCTCAGCTTCGCGCCATGCAGGTTGTTGGCGTGGTTACCCTGCACCCTGGCGGGGATCAGAAAGAATACGACGCGGCTCTAGCTGATGACACCCGCGCAGAGCTTGAGGACGTCGAAGATTCGTTGGAAAAGGCGAAGAAGTTCGTGAAGAAGTTCGGCTTGTACTTTATCACGTCTGCCACCTACGGTGGGCTCTTCACCATGAGCAAGTCTGCGGAGACCACTTCAGGGTCCTCGGCAGAGTCATTGTCGGCGAAGCTGTCGGCCTCATATTTTGTGGCGTCAGCTTCGGCTGAGGCGTCGAATCACACAAGCTCGTCTGAGGAACACTCGAATGCGCAAACGAAAGTGAAGTGCTACGGCGGGGACGTGGCGAAGTGCTCCATTGGTACCTACAAAGACTGGGCGGCAACCGTGGGCGGTCAGGCTGGCGTTGTGGACTACACGATCACCCCCATCTACAAACTCCGGGATCCCGGCAACCCACAGCGTGCGCTGCTTAAGGCCGCCTTCCACATTCTGGAGGCGAAGCTTCTGGGCGGACTGCAAGCGCAATGGATAAAGGAAGACCGGGTGGCGTCTGCAAGCACAACTGATCTGAAGACCGTTGCCATCAAGAGCGTGAGCAGCAACAGGTTCTGCCGGCTCAACCGCAACAAAGGCAAACACCGCTGCCCCGGCAGCCCTGGCTGCACCGACCCTAATTCTAACGTTGGAGATTTCCCCCATGGCGGATATTACGACTACACCATGATTTGCGACGGGGACGCGGAGTACACCGGAACGTATCTCAAGGATCGTTTCTCAAAGCAGGATGTGCGCACCTCGTTCCTCGAGTTTGTCTTCTCCCTCACAGCCGTCTCACCATCCAAGGAAGAATTCTTCTTGAAATCATGGGCGCTGACCGTTGACAGCGCGTATAGCAACGGCGGACCTACGCTCGACCCTAACCATGAATTTGCCTACGAACACAATTGCGGGCTCTCGGTTGCCGTCTCCCAAATTGAGCCCACTCTGATTCCTGAGTCCACTCTGATTGGCTGTGGCTTTCTCAGGGATGAAACGGTGTTTCAACTCAAAAGCCAGGGAGCGGGGTTGTACAAGCTCTCTGCAAGATACGGCTCTGGGCAGTCCGACTCTGCCTTCGGCGTCCGCAACCTGGGCCACCCGTGCGGAATAAACAGCGCCGACTTGAGCGTTGGATGCCCAGCTCTCGTAAACGTGTCCGGGCGGGAGGAGGATGCGGGCGGCTTCAACGCGCAATTTGTGGTCGAGGTGCTATAATTTACAGCAACCGACAGGAGACGGGAGACGGGGGCAGGGAACGATAGCGAACGACCCTGGCGAGCCAAACACTAGACCGGTGAAAGTCCGGCACAAGCGCAGGTAAACGAGTGCGCGGCCCAGGCTATCGTAAGACGATATGAGGGCGGAAGTCCGCGGCGCCAGAGCTCAGTGGCAAAGACCCCCAGGCGACCCACCGGGGCAGCGAGGCTTCTCTAACCGTGGTAACGAGGCAGCGCAGTACGACACCAATGGCGCAAGTGGGAATGAATGGGAACTCTCAATTTAACGCAGAGGGTGGGTATGAGGGCAAGAGGGGGGGGGGGGGGATGTAAATAGAAAAAACAAACGAAAACGAGAAGGGGCGGAAGGAAAGAGCTCCACGACCACGTGCACTAGCAAAGGTGCCGCTGCGCCTTGAGCCGAGAGCCGTAACACCAGCTCCTGCGGCTGACGCGGCGCCGGCGGCGAGCACCTCTGAGTCTGAGACTGTGGCGGCATCGAGTGGGCAACACCCGGTTGGAACCCTTGTGCTCGTCGCAATAAAGCACCATGGACTCTGGCCTGCAGAGGTGGCTGCTCCGTACTCGCCTAAAGTTGGATCCTCTCTCTGTTCATAAGGCTCGCGGGAGGAACACCATCCTGCTCAAGACGTTTGGCGATCATATGTTTCTATGGACCACGGCAGCAGAGCTACAAGTCTTTGAGATGGCGATGGCTGAACAAACCTTACTGTCGGAAACAGGAGGGAGCCCGATAGGGACAAAAAGAGTAGCTTATCGTGAGGCAATCGAGGCAGCTCGCAGCAAGACTGTCGCCAACATGAGCGGTGAGGCGGAGCGGGCGTCGGGCAGCAAGCGTGCCCGGAGGGGGTAGTTTTTTGCTTGTTTGTTGTTCTTGTTGTACACCGCCTTGAGATGTAAAAATCACATATTCAGTAAGAGTCTGATGGGTATGACCACAGTTGGAGAGGTGTACAGAATGTACAGAATGTGCAGAAGGTGTACAGAAGGTGTACAGAAGGTGTACAGAAGGTGTACAGAAGGCTTCTGGTCAACATGCAGCTATTTACCCCTTCGCCATTTGAGAAGGCCAGCTCCCCAGCCCTGGCTTAATTAGTAGTAGATCTAGATCTTTCAATTGTGCTGCTCTCAAATCTAGTCTGGTCCAGAATGGCGTCCGTGGTCCCGAGAAATTACGTAACAAAGGAATGTCTGGACGCTCCACAAACCCCATTTTATGACGTGTTACGAAAGTATATTAACACACACGCGAGACAGCCCACGCCCAACGCACCCCACACACCTCAGACCTCAGCCCGTCAGCCGCGGCCGCGCTTGCGGTTCCCCGGCGATGCAATGTCCATCGCGCTGCGCGCAACGTCAAACACGTTGGCCGCGCGGTGGCTCCGCGCCATCGCGGCGAACCTGCGCCGCTCGCGGTTGCCCCTCTCGATCTGCTGGATGCGGATGGCGGCCTGCTGCTGCGAGAGGGGCGCGGCCGCCTTGAACTCCCTCCAGAGGCGCTCGAACTCGGCGCTGTACTTGGCGACCAGGTAGACGTCCTCTGTGACGACGCAATTCTCGTTGTTGCGCGCCGAGGCCGAGTACGACCAGTTGTACGAGCCGCACAGCAACACCCGCCCGTCCACGATGGCGTATTTGTGGTGCATGTGGCGCGGCACGGGCGCCGCGCCGCTCTTGAGCTCGTAGTCCGGGTCGACGAGCGTCTCGACGCCGGCAGACGCCATGCCGAAGACCTGCGAGCCGCCGTCGAGCGCAGTCTTGTCGTCGGTAATCAGCCGCACCGCGACCCCGCGCGCGGCCGCCTCCTTGAGCTCAGCGGCCACGCGCGCGTCCGAGATGACGAAGACGCAGCACTCGAGCGTGGTGGTGGCGGAGCCGATCCAAGAGCAGAGCTTCTGCCGCGCCTCGTCGCTTGGGAAGAGGAGCACCTCGTGCGCGAGCGGCCGCGGCTGCAGCAGCTCCTCCTCCACCACACCCACCAGCCCGGCTGCTCACAGCAGCGGGTGTGAAGAGGCGCCGTTCACAGCAGCTCCT